TCTCTCTGTGAATATTTAGGAACTAAACACAAACTATCCTCTAGTTATCACCCCAAAACAAATGGACTTGTTGAACGATTTAACAGAACTTTATGTGAAACTCTAGCAAAATATGTTGCTACATTTTCTACAGATTGGGATGTTCATATACCTTCCGTCCTATTTGCATATCGTACATATCAACAAACAACTACCAAATTTGAACCATTTAATTTACTGTATGGCCGAGATGCAGTACTATCTGTAGAATTTCAATTTATAACTAATATAGGCAACGTTCGTGGAATAACGCTCCACGAAAAATTATTACATCACATATACAAGTTGATTGAACGTCTCCTCAACAAAGAATTGAAGCACAAACTAATATAATTAAAGCACAAGATAAACAAAAGAAGTATCATGATCAATATATCAAACCTCATGATTATCAAATCGGTAATAAAATTTTATTATTCAATGCAAGATTGTATACCAAAGGAATTCCACAGAAGAAATTAGAGAAACGATTCACAGGACCATTTTATATACACAATAAATTTAATAATGGTACATACTAGTTATAAACTATAAATAGTAAAGTATTTGCAAAAATAATAAATAAAGATTTATTAAAGCCGTACAAAGAATTGCCAAACTGGGAACCACAAATTTTATTATAAAAAAACCATAGAAATTCATTCAACGTCTACATTTTTATCTCTACTATAAAAAAAAAAAACAACAAAAACAACTAAAATGGATCTTACTCAACGATTTAATACTCTCAAACCCTATATTTTATCTTTATTACAACATTGTCAACCTGATGAAACTATTACTATTTCTTCTACAACTATTCAAATACAAAACTCTACTTCAGTTCAACATTTTCCACACCCAAGCCAAAGTGAAAATGAAGCTCAACAAATCTATAATAATTTATATATTTATCTATTAGACCTTGACATAGAAGAACCTAAAAATATTACTTTAAATCTTTATATCCCTGGTGACGATTTTAAACAAAAACATGCTTATATCTGTGGTGCTATCACTCAAATACAAAAATGAACACATTCAAATGGAACTATACTTGAACTTTTCTTTAAACTTGAACAACTCTTAGAAACTCAAAATTGGCAACCCTCTGCTCAACGAGAATTATATTCATATTTTTCACCCACAAAAGCCAGAAATGTATAAAAAATAGCTCAACGAACTCATCAACTTTTTAATACTTGTGGTCATTTATATCTTTATGTTGTCCAGCAAATTACCCCCTTTATCTTGAATGAAATGTATCATACTGACTTTTATGATACTCTAGTACCTGAAGCCAAATGATTAAAAGACCAAACATGATACAATTCTTAAATATTGATGAGTTTGATGACTTCGACCAGGAGGTTGAATCTAAAGAAGAGAGTGATGTAGTACCTCAAAATTTCATCGAATTTTAATATTTTTCTTTTTCTTTTCTTTTTCTTATATTTTATTATATTCTTA